TCATCCTGCCTTTCMCAGGGTTTATCCTGGCAGCCCCAGAACACACCTGGATTGTCCCATCCCTGCTCAGGTGGGTGTTCTGAGCCCTCAGGCTGTGGTGATGTCCCACTCTGGGGGTGCTGGGGACACCATCCCTTTCTCCCCCATTTCCAGAAACGTCTGGAGCACCAGGAGGAGGTGCAGCCCCTGCCTGGAGAATGGGGAGAGATTTAGGAGATGCTGAGGGGGTTTGGGCTGGTTTGGGTGGGGATCCCAGAGACAGGACAGGTGCTGAGTGGGGTTTAGGATCAGGGCTCTCTGCCCCATCAGAGCTGTGGGGTGGAGCCCCAGCACTTTGTCTTTGGCCTTGGGGTGTTTTAGGGGAGGTGAATGTCGTGAGCAGAAAAAAGCTCTGAGCTGGTTTAAAGGCTGGAGTTACACCTGGGAACAGCATCCCAGAGCCACAAGAATTGTTCCCTGTGCTCATCCCCTTTCTTCAGGGATGAGCAGACACTCATCAGCAGCGTCCCTGATTTGGGGGATCTGTGCTCTGAGCAGTAAAACCATGAGGATTTATCAACATCACTGTTTGTTCACCCAGAATAGCCCCATGGCCAATTCCACRTCCATGAGGTCATTTTAATATCCCACTCTGCCTCATGGCATGGCAAGCGTTGTTTAAAGGCAATAAACTGCTACAAAGACATGTGATAGAAACAGAAATAATTTGATAAATAATGCAATTGGAGTTGGGGCATGAGGCTAAGTTGCTGTTGGGCTAAAAATCTCTCTGGATATTCCTTCCTGGGAACTCTGGGAAAAGAGAGAACAAATACAGGTGGTGCTCCTTCCTTCCCTTCCTCCAGCCCCCTCCCAAACAGGGCAGGAGCACCAACAATGGGCCATCCATCATTTCAGCTGCAATACACTGCTCCTCACAGGTACATTTCACCCAAATCCTCTCTCCAAGACGGATTATCTGTGAGCACAACTCTGGCACCAGTGTCTCTTYTCAATAGGCACGTCAACGCTGCCACAAAGGCCGGACATGAAGGGATCAGTGGTGGTTTTATCTCAAATTGCACTCAGTGTGTGTTTCTTCCAGCTGACATTCATTTAAATGCTCGCTCTAAGACATCTTTTCTCCCCGTAATAGAAAAAGGATGGGACATCCTAAGCATTGTTTCGTGGGGGGAAAAATTATTTAAAATATTCACTTGGCTAAGCATGAAATATTTCGGCTGCGTGTGTTTAATCAAGAGTGAAAGCAAGGGTAGTTATGCTTGTATTTCATAAATTAAAATGCTAAAATGATTAGATAAGGAAACAAAATACCTCGTTTCATTGCAGCAGTGCTAATGAAACCATTGAGAGAGGTGGGGGGAGAAAAAGAAAAGTCACTTTGTAATTCTGAGCAGTTTTGCTCCAGAGAAACAGGGGGCTGTAGTTGTGTGGGTGCAGTAACATGTTCATCCACATCATGCRTGTTCCTGCATCCATGTCCCATCAGATAAGACATATTACTGCATCCATGTTCATCCAGATCATACATGTTATTGCGTCCATGTTTATCCAGATCCCACAGTCCCTGCATCCATGTTCCATCAGATCATACATGTTCCTGCATCCATATTCATCTAGATCATACATGTTACTGCATCCATGTTCACCAAATCATACACGTTACTGCATCCATGTTCATCCAGATCATACATGTTCTTGCATCCATGTTGCACCCAGATCATACATGTTACTGCATCTTGTTCATCCAGATCATACGTGTTCCTGCATCCATATTCATCTAGATCACACATGTTATTGCATCCATGTTCATCCAGATCATACGTGTTCCTGCATCCACATTCCATCAGATCCCACAGTTACTGCATCCCTGTTGTACCAGATCATACATGTTCCTGCATCTTGTTCACCCAGATCATACATGTTCCTGCATCCCTGTTCCACCCAGATCATACATGTTACTGTATCCACGTTCCATCAGACCCCACAGTTCCTTCATCCATGTCCCACCCAGACCCCTCAGTTCCTGATCCCATCGATCCCAAATGGAATCCCCTTCCCCTGGTTCTGCCCCTCCCTGTCCTGTCCCAGGAGCTGTGTGGGAGCTCTGTCCCTGCACCTTTCGGGTGCTGTGAAGTTCTCAGCAGCTCCTTCCCCTYGCTGCTTCAGTGGCAGAATGGAAATGGCTCAGGAAGGCTGGGGAAGGAGGTTTGGAGCRTTTTTAAAGGTCCTTTGTCCCCAGAAGAGTTTTGATCAAAGCACTGACAAGGTCAGCTCTTCAGTTTAGGAACCAAGCAATGCTTTTAGCTCCTAATTTCAGACCTGTCTGTGCTCTCTGTGGACCTGAAATCTCCAGCTGGCAGCACAGACCCCCAGATTCCCTCTCACAAACGCTTTGTTTCAAATAGATTACCTTTCTTTCTCTAAGGATTCTAAACCATCTTAAATTGCCTTTCTTCTTTTCTCTTCCAATGGATATTTTTATCTTCTTTGATTTTTCCCTGATAYTAGCAGTGACCATGAGCCAGGTTGGCAGCAGAGCACTTCATTAACCTGTGCAAGAAGAGATTCATATTTTTATTTATTGTTACCACTGCTGTTAGTGGAGCCAGGGAGCCCAGAACATTTAACAGCAAGTCAGTAGCTCCTTTTTTGAGTTTGTAGTGGTTTAAAGAGGTGCACACTCAGCAACCAGCACTTCGTTCTGATGTGTGTCTGTGTTTATGGAAAATGTGGTTTATTTTTATGTCTTCCCAGGCATCTGGTTAGAAAACATTTTGAGGGTGTATTTCAGAGGGGAAAGCACACTGAGCAGAACTTCATTGCRTTGAACTTTGTGTCTTGGTAGAACTTTCTCACCCAAACTGCTCAAAGTTGTGGCTGAAGGGTTGTTTGCTTTCGAGACAATCAGCAGTTTGAGAACCTCGGTGGCCTGGAATGAGCCTCCCCTCTCGTCTTATGCACAGAAAATTTGGGAATTAGCAACATCAGTGCGAGGCCTTCCTACTTTCTCAGCTAACTGTAACGAATTTCCAAGYGTTCAAATAATTATTTGTTAACTTTGAACACATTGGATTCAAATTAGAGGACAAAACATTGGCTGCAGAAAAGCAGCTTCAGCAAAAAAGAGCCACATAACCATAAGGGCCTCCTAATCAATGAGTCGCAGAGAGCTTTTAATGGCCTGATTTATTTGGGAAAAATCAGTTCACTTGTACAATTATTTGTCACTTTTAATTCTGGTCGTTTATTGGAGTTGCTGGGAGATCAGATGAGAATTCACCGTGCCTGGAGGCTCCTGGGAAGGGGTTGGGGGAACTTTTCTGAGCTCTTTGCAAGCCCTTCCTGGGGTTAAAGGATGTCTTTGGGCTCAGGATATAAAGCCAGGGACCTCAGGCTCAGCTTGGGAAGGAGAGGAAATTAAGGACAGCACCCTGAGATGTGCCAGAGCTGGTGGGGGATTGATCCAAAAAGGTCCCCTGGGGAACCCAGTCCCAAAAACCAGCTTTAAACTGGGAATAGAGACAGCTTAGAAGGGAGCCAATAGCAGGAGAAAGAGACTGGAAAGGCGTTAGAATTTGAGATTAAATCTAGCTTCATCAACAGGCACAATTAAAATGATCTGTGGAAGAGATTAGCCAGCAAATAGCTCTCAACCATATGGCTGAAAAGAAAGGGTAAATAACTAAAAAAAAAAAAAAAATCTCAACTGTACAGAAATAATCCAAAACTTCACTTTACTGGGTTTCCTGGGGTGGCAGAAGTGTGAAGGAGGGAAGGAAGGAGGGCAGAGCCAGAGGGGCAGTGCTGGAGCACAGCGCTGAAACTCTCCTGGTTTGAATTCATTGGAATTTCAATGCCTGCCAAAAGCATTTTGTGTCAGGCTGGGGCTTTATYCAGCTGTCCCAGCACTGTCCCAGTGCTCCAGGACATTCCCATGTCAGAGGGCAGTGCCCCTGAGCCCTCCTGCAGCACTGCCAGCACCATTGCTGAGGTTCTTTCCTCCCAATTTCTCAGTCCACTTGTGCAGAGCTTCACTGGCTTCGTTAAGGATGCAGGAAGGCATCTTCGTTTTATTGAGATGGGGAAATAATTGAGCAGGACAAGGCAGGAATTAGTACAAGATTTTCCAGGCAGGTCTGAAAGTGGCTGAAGGTGAGAAAGCAGATTGTGCTGCAGGATGTGATACTGAAGAGGCAAAAATTCTGCTAAAGGAGGTGATTTTAGGGTGGGAGGAAGGCTTTTCTGGAGTCTCCTTAGGTGATGCCTCCACAGGGCACAAGTCATTCACGTTTTGATGGGATTTACTGGGCAAAATCAGGTTTTCTGTGTTCACTGACTTACAGCAGAGCAGGAAAAAAAAAAAAGGTAACAAGAGGCGAAGCTCGTTGAGAGAACACGGGAAGTTTGGAATGGTCTTGTGCAAGAGGAGGGGCTGGGGATCACCCAAGAATTAACAATCCATCCTCAGCTGCCCCCTGCCCCGAGAGACCGCAGAGAACAGCCCTGTCCAGGTGGGCAGAGGATGGCAGCAAACAGGATGGTGGGGTTTATAACTTGCAGATAAACCCTGCTGTGAGCTGAGTGGTGCAGAGGGGTGGGCACTGAGCCTGGCAGCGTGGTGCCCTCAGTGAAAATCCTTCATCCTGCTGGAAAAAATGGGAAAGGAGTTTCTGCTCCGGCAGCGAGCGCCCAGCTCCRTGCCCAGGTTCTGCACTGCATGTGCTGGGGTTGTCATGGTGAGGGCTGARCATCAGAGCACAGAGCCTGCAAAACCTCCACGAGCTGCTGATGTGTAAATGAAAGTTGCCCTCGAGTAAAGACAYGGCCAAACTCGTGTAAACGCCGCGTTCAGGATTTACGAGGCGCGGCCGCGGAGGCTCAGCTCCCCGAGCAGGGCAGGGCTGGCTGCTGCTCCTCCATCCAGAATTAATGCACGCTTTAAAAAAAAAAAATAAAAAAGAAAGAAAATAAACCTTGTGTGGGTGCTGTCTTTGCAGGATCACCGTTCTGGACGACGGGAGCCTGCGCATTGTTAACGTCACCAAGTCGGACGCGGGCAGTTACACCTGCGTGGCCACCAACCACTTCGGGACGGCGAGCAGCACGGGCAGCCTGGTGGTCAAAGGTGACTAAAAACACTCTCACTGAGTTATTGTTATTGTGGTGAGGCACAAATTCCCATTTATTTTCATTATTCCTCCCCCAGGGCTGAATTTCAGCCTTTTGGGGATTCCAAGGGTTTATTCACGTGCATTCGTTATCCGTCAAATGTCGTTTTTAAAAGTAAAAGCTGTAGCTTGGTGAAGATATTTAAGGGAATAATTGGAAAAAGATATTGAAAGGAATCATTTGACAAAGATATTGAAAGGAATGATTTGATAAACAATGAGAGACACTGACAAATGTGTTGAATTAATTTTTGGCCTGCTGATGAGCAGTCTGGTGTCTGATGGATTGTAACAGGCAATGAACATATAGGTTATTACACTTACAATCACTCTCCATCTCCTTCTTATTTGAGGAAAAAACCCATATTGGATAAGAAATCAGGGAACATTGATTGCAAAGTGATAAATCAATCAGGAAGCTCTAATGCTGTCAGTTTTCATTCTCCCACACCCTGGCACTGATGGATCGTATTCAGTCAGAGGCTCTCCTTGTGTTTCTGTGCTRTATAGGAAATGCTTTAAATGTTCCAATGCAGGTTTTAATCCGTGGTTTTTAGAGCTGGAACAYATCCAGAGGTCCCTTCCAACCCCAGCCAGTCTGGGATATTCTGAGCCTTGTAGGAAAGCATCAGGATCCCAACAACTCTTTGGGTTTGGGGTTGTTGTGAGTCCCTCGTGTGGCATTTGCCTGTGTTGGTCCCTGAGAAGAACAGAGACAAGTCAGGACCAGAGCCAGGTCTCTGTAGRAGCTGATTCTGCCTTTCCCTGACCTGTGCTGTCCCAAGGAGGCACCTGCAGCRAACAGCCAGGAAAGRRCATGAAAAAMACTTTATCCATTATCAGAAWTGTGGGAGGGACMTTAAAGCCCATCCCAGCCTGGCTTTGGGTACTGCCAGGGATCCAGGGGTATTCCCTGATCAGCTCTGTGTGTCCCAGAGCAAAACTGGGGAGAAAAATGGCAAAATGGCAAGATCAGGGACCACTTTTTCCACCATAAAAAAGCCAGTTGGAAGCAGGAGTGGTTGGGTTCTGTCATTCCATACTCACAATTCTGTAATTCCTGATTTATCCTCCCAGTGCCCCAGGAATACCCCATCACTCCCAGGAAAACTTCAGCAGTTGTGGTACCCGATCTCTGTGTTTCCCTGCTCCAAAATCACTTTTGTTCACTCTGAGATTATAAAGGGCTGCTGAGGATGTTTTTCCCCCTCAGTGCTCCATTTCCAGTCCATTTGCATTAATGGCAGCCACACGTGTGCACGAAGCACAGAATAAACTCCCGAGCCCAAGGTGGGGATATTAACGGCAAACTCAAAAGTGCAATTGCAAAGTCTGGCCCATAAAAAGTRTAAAAGGGCAGCAACTATTCTGAGCTCCCAATGAACTGTGTAAAATACTGTATTATAGAGTGAAATGCTTGAGTTTCTCTGCCCTGAGTGAAACATGTGAGTTTGGACAGAAATATGGATGAATTCCTTACTTTACCTCCATTTCGTGGTGTACAAAAAGACTAATTTAACAGCTGAYGTGGTTTTTGACCTTAAGATATGCTTACATTCTTTTCTATCTCATCTTATGCCATTGAGTAAAAAGCTGTGAAGGTCAAGACATTTTTTCCTAACCTTCCTGTGTTCTTCCATTAATATTGCAGGCTCTCCTTGTTTTTTTTATCATTTTCTTTCTCAGGGAGAGATGCCGACAGTGTCAAAGACAGTGCAGGCAAGGATGGGAGGAGGAGGGGAATATGTTACACCAGAACCAAGCAGCTTAAAAATAACTCTCTGGCAAACAACCAGAGAGGGATGAATAAATATTCATTTTATGCATGAGTAGACAGTTTAAAAAATATCAAATCCTGACAGGTGCCCATAGGGCTGTGTATTAACATTCTGTTGTCAGGCTGGGCCAACCCCAGYGGTTTTCTGAACTGGTGCACTTGTGCTTTGGGTTTGTTCTGCTGGCTGGTGCTAAATGAGAACCTCTTGGCCTCCAAGAGCTGAAACCTTCGAAACTTGCATGTTCAGTTTGACCTTTCAATTAAAAAGCAGGATTGGGTTTGTAAGGCTGGAGAAGGATCGCAGGCAGCGTTCCGAGCCCTGTAAAACATGGTGTGTGTTTCAGTGTGTTATATAAATATTCATTTTCCAGCTTGTTCCCTGTTTTTTTTTCCCGTACTTGAGGCTAAATGTTCAATTCTTCCAACACACGGAAAGATTAGAGACTCTCTGAGTGCCGGGGGATTAAATGACAAATGGAGTAAACAGGCACAGGCTGTATGAGTTTATTTGTATTTAATGCAGTGATATCAACTGGCTGATGCAGCAGCAGGCTGAGAGAGGAGACAGATTCCAAGGCAGGGCCCTGGAAGCTCTGGGAATGCTGAGGAAAGCACCAGGAGAGGCTCCTGTGCTCAGATCCCAGATGGGGTAGCAGTGGGACCCATGTGAGGTGGATTTGGGGTGGGAGCAGCATCCCAAAGCAGCTGATCCCTCTGTGTCCCCACTGCTTCTGTCTTGGATTGAGGAGGTCCCTGTCATGCAGGACTTGTTCCCAGCAGATTTCTAATGGATTTTATTTAACTTTTGGGGCCAGCTTTGCTTTGGGGATGTTGGGATTGTGGTCCCATCATTGACACCTGTGGCTGCTTCCCAAAATTCTGCTTCTCTTCAGGCCATGGGCTCAGCTGGAAACCCATCTCTATATCTATATCTAAATCTATGTCCATCTCCATATCTAAATACACATTTTTAGATACATTTTTATTTAAATTCACCTCTAAAAGCTCAGTGGAGTCGGTGCCTGCCCCCTGGGGAGGTGCAGATTGGGGTCACATCGGTGCCTCCCTGACAAGGGCGCCTTCCCATGGCTCAATTTTCTGTTTAATTGGGATGAATCTTTCACATTTCTCCACTGCCTCCCTGGGGCTGTCACGGGAGGGCTCAAGGCAGTGAAAGCACAACTTCTGCTGGCTGGAATCTGTATCACTTCAGCAGAAAGAGAACACAAAGATAATGTCAGGAGGTTATTTTTTTTCCTCACGCTCGAATAGACTGATAGTCTTGATTTTGTCCAGCACAGTGATTCAAATTATTCCCTATAAAACAGCACATTTTTCATTCCCAGCCTATTCCTCTGGGTGAACGTTGAAGTGCTGCATTGCAGTTAAAATTGATTAAATACTGTAAATTCTGGCCCATTATCCAGTCACTTTTCAGAGACTTCAAATGTTGCTGCCTTTAAACCTGGAATTCCTGCTGGGTTGTTCCAGTCCTTTAGGACACAGCATTTCCCTTCTGCAGAAAGTGTCAGTGGGGTGGGATGATCTCCCTGTGGCTGTCCCTGTTTCAGCATCACTTGATCAGAATTGAAACTCCATTGTTTGGAATTTGTCTTGTCCTTGCCTCGTACCTGTGGGGTTTGGTTTGGGTTTTGGGKTTTTTTTAATCAGTGAGTGCCCATAAATGTGAGTTTCACCAGCTGTTCTCAGCTCTGTTGAGTTTGAAGTGACTTTGGAGCAAGTTCCATCAGTTCCTTGAAGTGGGGCTTGAACTCTGTCCCCAAGAGGAGGAGGGAGCTGTACATTGAGATATTGAGGGTTTTTTTTAACATGAACCAAAGGCAAATTCCAGCAGCTGCTGAAATCTGTTGCCCTATTTCAGCACTGTCCACATTCCCTGTCCAAACCTCCCTGATTTTCCCCCACTGCTGCTGCTCTGCTCCTGTGGAAAAGCTGTCCCAGAGAGCTCTGCAGGCATTTTCCATCCCTCCCACCCACATTCTGGGTTTGGTGTTGATATTTTGCAAACATGAGTGATCCCTCAGATCTCTGCCTCGTTCCTGCAGTGGTTAAGGTCATTTAAAGACTTTATTTTTCTCTTCTCGTAGCTCAACATCATCTCAAATTCATGTTGGCTATGCCTCAGCCCTTAAAAAGGGACTTGGTTGAATGACACCTGGTGTTGAAAGCACAAAATATGATTTAAAAAYGAGAGGCAGAGTTTAAAGTGATAATCCCAGAGCAGCACTTGAGGGTTATCTGCATTTTATGGGGCTTTTGTAATTATCCTGATAGCACACGAGCTCTGTGCTCAGCTGGTGTCAAAGCCAAAGCAGAGGCTCTCAACACTGAAATCATCCAAAGATGTTTCATTATTCTAAATTTTGGTTTAGCATTTGCTGAACACAGTTTTGATATGTAGTCCAGACATGAATGAATATTCCTTATCAAGTCTAATACATTTTTTTAAAAAAATTTCATGAGGACAAGTCAATTTAGAGCATAAACTTGTTCTCCAGAATCTCTAAATCAGGGATTTGTAGGCAAAAAAAAGCTCAGAAAGTGCCATACAGGCTCTGATTTATTCATGAGAACATGTTATGTGTTCTCATGTYTAGGAATTAAAACTTATTTCTAAGTTAGAGAAAAACCTTTCTTGACTTCTGAGTCACAACCAGCAGCAAAGGCTTGATTTTCACAATTGACAAGSAAAGCCATAATCTTTGCCCGTGAAATTGCAAAGGAAAAATATTCCCCTCTAATTGGACTATTTCCACTGACACCAATTATTTCCTAGGACACAATTAAGGCTCTTTTGCTGGGCTTAAGTAAAACTGTGACCCAGAGCAGTGCATGAAAGGCACAATTATGAAGGACAGAGATGTGCACCCTGCTCAGWGCTGGAGCTGCTCCAAAACCCAGCGTGGGAAATCCTGATGGTGATGGGGCTGGAATGCAGCAACCAGGGCTCTTCTCAATGTGACACTTGGAACACAAGAATTGTCTTCAATTCTTGGAAATGAAGGATTTTACAGTTTCAGGCAGCTTCCCTGTGGATCCCAGCTGATCCAATCCCCTGGTGCAGGTGAGGGGCTCAGTCTGAGTTTCAGCCCTGGCAGGGGCATCCCCTCCCTGGGTTTGTGACCCCTGATCCTGGCCAAGGTCTGGTTTTCATCCCAG